ATACAGGGAACAAAAATGTCCCCTGATGGAAGCTGCAACATCACCATCTTTGTCATTCATGTGTTGTTACATTACACTATATGTCAAATTATTCCTTATTTGTTTTCATTGGCCAGGGGTAAATTTGTTGCTTATATATAGTTAATAGTGACCAGATATGGAATTCATCAGTAGATAGTTTGTATTATCGATAATTAACTTGCCTGACAATTTACCATTCAAGAATTTATAATTATATATAATTTTAATTATTTTTTTTCTTTAAAATAATATAGATCCCAAACAGAACAGGGATTTGCAGGAGAAACAGATGTTGTTAGTGAGAGCTTGTCTGGGGGAGATATTTGTCAGGACGGACACTACGACGAAGCACAACTACAGCCGGCCACCCTGCCAGTGCTGCCATGACGACAGGTGCACCGATGTTACCCATAGTTCCCTATTCTTTGACTCCATTGTTGTGGATGGTGGCTGGAATTTCAGAGAATTTATTGTGTATGATAACAAAGCTTGTTATCCTGAATATCTGATCTCATACAAGAGAATTTAGGCACTTGATCAGTGTATTGAACTTAGATATTATATATTTCATTATTATACCATATAAGTGGAAATTTTAGCGAGACGCAAATTTAGTGATTTGTCCTTAAAAACTATTTATTTATTTAAAGCGAGATGTTATTTTAGCGAATTTTAAAATGCACATTAAAGAACCTATAACAAATAAAACACAATTAATTTTTAGCGGTAATCAATTTTAGTGATCTTGGCACCATCGCTAATAATGCCAAAATTAAGTCCTCGTTAAAAATTCTACTTATACGGTATTCAAAACACAATCACGCTGGGGCCATGCAACAATAAAACGAGATGCGTATGATGCCCCTGTATGGAAACATAGCAAAGGTTACACTCTCTCAATTGCAAATCAAATATGTTGGTACCCAAAGTGAGGTCTACTCACAAGAAATACAATTGTGAAAAAAAATGAAAGTTCTATCACCACCTGTTCAAAAGTTATGGCCAAGATTCGTTTTTTTTTAAAGTAGGTCAAACTCTTATGTCAAGTTCAAAGGGTCAAAGTTGTTGGTTTCTAAAGAAAGTTCTGGTCACAAGGATTTCATACATGTATTTGAAGTTTGAAAACCTAAACTTTAACTGTTCAAAAGTTAAGGCCAAGGTTAAAGTTTTTTCAGTGTAGGTCAAACTCCTAGGTCAATGTCAAAGAGTCACTGTTGTTAGATCTTGTCACAAGGATTGCATATGTAAAGTATGAAAACCCTAGCCCTTACCATTTAAAAATTATGGCTGAGGTAAAGTTTTTTAAAAGTAGGTCAATTTACAAAGGTCATGGTCAAATTCATTGGAATTCAATGAAAGGCCTTATCACAAAAAATATATGTGAGAAGTATGAAAGTCTTAGCACCAGCCTTTTAAAAGTTATGACAAAAGTAAAAGTTTGGTATATATTTGTAAAAGTAGGTCAAACTCCAAAGTCAAGGGGTCAAATTTGGTAGTACCCAAAGAAAGGTCTTGTCACAAAAAAATGCATCTGTGAAATAAGAAAGCCATGGCCTGGCCACTTTTTTGTTGTTGTATACATTCCCATGTTTTAGTAGTGCTAGTAATACTCTATAAATTGTAATTATAAGTGTATTACTCTGTAGTGAGAACTATCTCACTGTGTGTGTTAGAAAAGTTGGAATTTTTTTACTGCATGCATGGTCACTCAGAGAGCTTAAATATGCAAGTCACAGAAAAGCAAAATAGATTTGAACTTGGAATGATTGCAGAAAACCAGTATTAATATGTATGTATAAGTATGTGGAAAAGTAGGATTTTTTCATAGAAGAGCAGTGTTGAATCACAGAAAAGTGAAACTGCATTTTAAATCATGACTTCCAGGACTAGATAGCTTGGGTTACATTATGGATAATAGAAAGGTTTAAAGGAAAATCGATGAAAGTCATGTTTACATAAATAGCAAAAGCTATATGTTTAATCATATTATGAATTGGAAACATCCTCATGTAAAGCAGGTTAATTTGTTTATAGCTGCAGAATTGTAGCATTATGGTTTTATATTTAGTCTTAAATTGACCATAACACTATACAAATCCTATGTTACAAATAATGGTGCAATTGATGGCACAGGACTTTGACTGCATGCACATGGTTGGAGAGGAATTATAATATATCCACTTTCTAACATTGGTCAATCAACTATATATATGAGTACCTTTCACTCCTTAGTTCTTGTTATATTCTTTCACCAATCTGTTGTTTTATCTACCTACTTACTCTAAATCTCTATAGACCTATAATCTTTTGTTTTGATCAATTTTCTTTTCTTTTTCTGATGCCAGAAATTTAAAACAAGTGAATTTATTGGTCTGTAGAGATGACTATATAGGGTTTAAGGAGGTGGATATGATATACATCTGGTTCAGTTAATTGGTTAAAGAATGTGTCTAGAATTAAAGATTGAAAAAAGTATTTGAATATCCAAGGCTGGAAAGTGGAGAAATACATCCCCAACCATACGCAGAAAATCCTGCGCCATAAATTTATTATAAGAAAAATTAATTCTGATGGTGAAGATGAAGAACAGCAGAGACTGATGCATGTTTAGAAATGTCCATAGATTGAAATTTGTTTCAACCATGCTCCCTTTGGGGGGGGGGGGGGTAGCCTCTACCAAAAGGGATAAAAAAAAATGTACCCAGATATTGAAGAAATTTATTGGAAAAAATCATTAAAAAAGCAAATTTTTTTGTCAAAAATACAAGAGCAAAATATCTGTTGTATATTAATATATGAAAGCATCCTCAGATAGTAGAGATTCATTTTTGTTCAAATCATGGCTCCTGATAATGGATCTGATTCACAATAAAGGTTCAAATTTTTACAATCTTTTTTTGCAATATCTATAGTCTTCTGAAGAACAGGGAGCATTAGCTACATAACTGATTAAAAACATGTCATTATGATATAAAATTATGTTTTATAATTCAAGTCTAAGCCAGTTCTAGAATGGCCCCAAAAGGTTTTAATGCAGCCTAAAACAGTTTTGATGCTTATGTGATCTTAAGTCCATTGGGCCTCTAGTTTTGTAATCTTGTTAAAAGACATTAATTAGTGATGCATGTAGTATATTTGTGTTTTGTTTTATGTTTGTGGCTTTCAAGGGTATATATATTTATTTTTTATTAGCTGTGATATTTGTTGTATACTCATGCTTCATTTGTGTTCCTATCTGTGATAAGTACCATCATCTTTTTGAAGAAAATGCTTGTTTTATACATTAAGTATTTTTGTGTTAGAAAGTTTGATATCTGCTTTTTTTTCATATCAATCGATATTGTCAATTAAATCTGAATGTTTAAAACGTAGATTTTTTTTCTTGCTAACCTGGTGTTCATTCCCTCTGTCTAGCTTTCCGTCTTTGGACTTTTCTATGGAATATGGATCGATGGGTCCATGCAATTCACTTTCCCATTATCGCACCATAGAGGTTAAGGTTGATATTGCGATGACGATGGCGGGATAATGCAATGGCGATGAAGCTATACAAGATGGAGCGATGGTGTGATAGCGATGACACAATGGTGCATTGACAATGGTGTGATGGTACGATGGCAATGAAGCGATATTCACTATCACACCATCGTTCTATCGCACTATCATCATTGCATTGTTGCACCATTGCATCATCGTCATCGCACCATCATCATGTCATCGCTATCGTGCCATCGACCTTTTAGTCGATGCTTGATGGTGTAATCGTAAACTGCATGGCCCTATCTGGATTTCATACTTTTCACATTTTTTACTTTTTTCCAAAAGCCACTTGGTCAATTTAATTTGGCACAAAATATTCTTTAGAGCGAAAGGGATTCTTTATTGTTCCAAAGGGAGTTAATCAAGAAATTGTAAATTTTAATAGATTGGGATCATAAAAAAAGTCATAAGAACCACAGGGTCAGAAGAGATGTAACTAGTCTAAAAATTCAGAGCTGAAAACAGTACAGTCAAACCCTCAAATGGGGATAAAACTTGAAAAAAGGTTTTCTGTTCCAATGTGCAAAAACAGTGACTCTTGCCATATCCAGTATAAACACATTTAACTTGCATTTGAGCTATCGTAGGAAAAACAAGAGGTACTGTGAGCACTGAGCTCACTAAATGATACCCCCGCATCCAATATGATTATAATGGCAAAATGCATGTTTTGCTCATATATGTAAACAACTCAGACAGGCAAAGGGAAGTAACTCTAAAGTGTCAGGATGTGTTTGTGAAACACAGATACCCTTGTTTGGCAACATAAGCAAAGGTTTAGCTTTCTTAAATGCAGATCAAATATGTAGGTTCCTAAAGTAAGGCCTTTTCACAAGAAATACAAATGTGAAATATAATCCGTAGCACCATCTGTTTAAATGTTATGACCAAGGTTAACATTTTTAAAGGTAGGACACACACTGGGGTCAAGGTCAAAGAGTCAAGGTTGTTAGTTTCCAAAAAAAGCCCTTGTCTCAAAGATTACATATGGGAAGTATAAAAGTCCTGGCCCTTACTGTTCAGAAGTTATGGCTATAAGCCTATAAAGAATAAAGTTTGTAATACTAGTACTCCAAGGTCAAACAGTCAAAGTTGTTGATATCCAATGAAAGGTCTTGTCACAAGGATTACATAGGTGAAGTATGAAAGCTCTAGCCCTTACTGTACAAAAGTTATGGCCATGGTTAAAGTTTATAAAAAGTAGGTCAACCTCTAAGGTCAAGGTCAAAATGACCTTTAGGGTCAAAATTGTTAGTATTCAATGAAAGATCTTCTCACAAGGAAAACATATATGAAGTATTAAAGCCCTAGCTCTTACCGTTCAAAAGTTGTGGCCAAAGTGAATGTTTTTTTTTTTGTTGTAAGTACGGGAATCTCAAAGGTAAACGTCAAAAGGTAAAAAATTATTAATTTCAAATGAAAGGTCTTCCCACAAAGAATTGAAGTTTGAAATTCCTAATATCTACTGTTTAAAAACTAGGGCCAAAGTAAAAGTTTAAATTTTTGTGTAAAAATGGGTCAAACTCCAAGGTCAAAGGGTCAAGGTTCAAATGAAAGGGTCAAATGAAAAGATATGTTACAAGGATTAAATATGTGAAGTATGAAAGCCCTAGGCTTGCCCTTTTAAAATTACGCTCAAAGTTGTATTCTAAAAGTAGGTCAAACTCAAAGGTCAAGGTCAAAGTTCTTGATATCCAATAAAGTGTCTTCTCACAAGGATAACATATGTGAATGATGATAGCCCTAGCCCTTACCGTTAAAAAGTTAAGGCTAAGGTTGAAGTTATTTCATAAGTACGGAAATCTATAAGGTCAAGAGGTCAAAATTGTTGGAACCAAATGAAAAACTCCAAGGTCAAGGTCAAAGATCAAATTTGGTGGAATCCAAAGAAAGGTCTTGTCACAAGGAATACACATGTGAAATATGAAAGTCATAGCTCCACTAAATCAAAAGTTACGGGCAAGGTTAAAGTTTTTGTGGACAAACGGAGAGACAGACAGAGAGAGACAGACAGACGGTCGGACATGACAAAAACTATATACCCCCCCCCCCCGAAACTTCATGTACGGGGGCATAATAAATATATGAAATTTGGAAGCCCTAATCCTTCAAAAGTTATGGCAAAAGTTAAATTTCTTTAAAAGTAAGTCAGACTCCAAGGTCAAAGGGTCAAGGTCTTGCTATCAAATGAAAGGTCTTAATTTTTACAGAATCGCATTTTGTCTTTCTCAACGCTGTTCAAACCATTCAAAGTTAATGCGAGTTTTTCATAAGTTAAACTTCGTGATTATGTATTTCGGGGAAAATTCAATCGTTTCAGGCGTTTTTATACACCCTCAAGAGAATTTTAGATAAAATTGTTAAGATTAAGATCTCCATATAATTTCGCGAAAGTTATGCGTTATAATGCGAAATTTACGCGTTATACATTTGTATCGCGAACGTTTCGCGTTATATCCCGAAAGTTTCGCGTTATGTTGCGAATTTTTCGCCTATTACGTGAAAGTATCGCGTTATACGCGATTTTTTTTTTTAACGTTAGAGCGTCTGCTCTACAGTCGCGAAGTAAGGAGTCAATCCTTACGTCGCGGGTTCGAATCCCACTGTGGGACGTGGAGATTCTTCGGATTAGACCGTATTTATAAACCGAGGTCCCGTGTCGCAGTAGGTGTTGGCACGAAAAAGATCCCTCCCTGTTCAATGGCCTTGAGTGTCGAGAATAAGACAAAATTTGCAGCTCTCCATCGGCAAGTGGTGGTGTCTCCAAATGAGAGAAAAATTCTCGAGAGGGACGTCACAAGTTAAACAATATACAATCAATATTCAATCAATCAATAACCTACGAAAATGAGCTCAATGGGCTTTCGAACATTTCTACGCATCTGACTTTAAAAAAACAAGTGTACTGTGAAGAAACATTCATAACTTCGTTAATACTGCAAATATCAGAACAATTCTTGTACCGTTAGAAAGAGAAAATAATCACGATAAAATAATGTACAGAAAATTTTGTTTATTATTAGTTGTACCATTTTTTTTTTTGGCTACCTCTAGATCTAGTTCAACTTTGCGCACTATTCTAACGATTTTGCCATTATCAAAATCACAGGCGCTTGACGTTTTAAACCTTTCTCTTTATAAATAAAAAAAATTCCCTACTATAATTATAACCGGTTATTATTATAGTAGGGATTTTTTTTATTTATAAAGAAAGGTTAAAAACGTCAAGCGCCTTTGATCAAAATCAATGCGGTGGTAACTGGACAGGTATACTATGTTAAAATGCTAGATTCTGGTTATTAACCCACCCACCCCCTACACTCAATACTTAAAATTGGTTTTAAAAAAATGTACAAAATGCTCATAATTTTCAACACAATATAATAAAATATTTTTAACTTAGCCAAAAAAATAATAAAGAAAGAAAGAATGAATGAATGAATGAAACTCTATGTAGTTTATTGTCATGGCAACTAAAATGTTTATTTTAATTATCATTTTCAGAAATTACACAAAACCTGCTTTGAAATTCAGAATATATAAATATTGGTATATATATAAAAATTACAAGAAATACCCGAAACATTAATATCAAATTGGTCTACACTTTGTAGTCTGGTTCCCGTCTCCGCCCCTTGGTTTTGGGGACTTCCGAGCCCGATCGATAAAGCAGGAGTATGGAAACTTGCGTTTTCACATCATGATGAAGTTAATTTATAATGATCTCTCTGTCAAAATTCTTGCTTTGAATTATGTGTTTAAGCATATTGTACTATGCAGATTAATAGTAATTTCTTAGATAAAGGTATAGGCAAAAAGAAAGTTGAGAGCAGGAATATTATTGTTTCAGAGTTATTTATAGAATAAGAAAACCTGATCATTTAATTCATTTCTTTGATAAATGTAAACATATGGCTTAGAGAGGACTCTACATGGGACAGAATAATAGTAGACAGTCTACCCCAAGTGTAGGTAAGGAAAAGTTTGCTTTGAATCAAAATTAATGCTTTATTTAATTAATTTTCATAGCAATGTCAACACTGCATATGTCTATATATATCCTAGAGCAGCAGGAAAAGAAAAATTAAAGCATGTGATTTGAAAATTAATGCAGAGTTGCTGGACATTTTCACAGTGGCATAATAATAATGTTTCTATAAACATTTTTTATGCACCCGCCTCGATAGATCAGGGGCGCATATTGTTTTTGTCCTGTCTGTTGTTTGTAAACTTTAACCTTCACCTTAACTTTTGAACCAATGAGGGATAAAGATTTCATATTTGGTATGCATACTCCACTAATTAAGTTCTTTCAAATGACATTAAGGTCAATGACCTTGTGACCTTGACTGTGACCTATATGCTGAAAATAGCTTTTTGGAATATTCATCATAACTTTAAAATCATGAAAGATAGAGACTTTTTATTTATTATGCATAATTCACTAATTAACCTTTTTCAAAAGACACGTGAAGGTCAGTGACCTTGGCTGTAACCCATATGCTTAAAATAGATTTTTTGAACCTTGGACATAACTTTTGAGCCATAAAAGATAGAGAACTCATATTTGGTATGTCAGCCCTTTACTAATTAAGCTCTTTCAAATAACACCAAGGTCAATGACAATTTGACCTTTACTGTGACCCAATTATGCTAAAATAGCCATTTTCATCCTCTGCCATAAATTTTGAACTAT